GCACCGTTTTAAAGAGGGTCGTGTCTGGTAAGCAGGTGTCACAAATGTTGGAAAAAGCAATGAGTGTTAGTTCGGTGTGAGTAACAAAAATGAAGCCGACACTGAAACACACACGACGTCCACTCAAACCGACACAAGCGGACCACATAGCGATTTTGTTCCTTTGGTGTGGAGGTGGCCTTCGAGTCGCGTTAAGTCGTTCAGTGGCCTGGTTAGTCTCGTGGACACGAGTGTCCCTCCCACCCCCGAACCATGCGACTAACCTCCATGTTGGCTCGGCAATTTCCGTCTCTCACTATTAAGTCACTTATGTGCATCAAATGTCTCTAACACGACAACAACTCTTGGTTTCACTAAAACCTTTTAACGTGTACTACTTTAGGAGCGTAAGATCATCCTGGAGTTGTTACACTTAATACTAGTCACCTTTACCGGTACTGTACCCTGGAAATTTCGTTAAACTATATTAATACTGTAAGTATGTGTTTGTCGATGATTAGTCATTGTTACCTCTATGTACAATGACTAAATATACAAACAATATTAAGTATTAATAATTAGTTTAACGAAATTTTCAGGGTACAGTACCCGGTACACGAGGTGACCTAGTATTAAAGGTAACAACTCCCAGCATGATCTTATCTAAACTATAAACAACGTTAAAACGGTTTTAGTGAAACCAAAGAGTTGTCGTAGAGACATTTTGATGCACATAAGTGACTTAAAGTGAGGACGGAAATTGCCGAGCAACATGGACGGTTATCGAGCGCCGTCCGCGCCAGCCGGGGGTGGGAGGGACCACCGTGGTCACAGCGAGAACTAACCGACGCCCTGCAACACTTAACGCGACTCGAGGCACCCTACCACACCAAAGGAACAAATCGCTATGTGTCGCTTTCTTTGTGTCGGTTGAGTGGGACTCGTGTGTGGTTTCAGTCGTCGGCTTCATTTTGTTACTACACACCGAACTAATAACTCAAATTCTTTTTCCAACTATTTGTGACACCTCTTACCCAGACGACCCTCTTAAAACGGTGCTAAGCGGTTGACAGACAATAGTCGGGAACGTCGGTCCCTCCTCCTAGTCGTCTCCGACTGGACGTGCTCACACACACACTCCTTAGGCACCTAACCAGTTAAACCTGGTTAGTGCCCGAATTGCATTGCGAGGCGCCCCCTGCATTGCATTGCCGAGTGCCTAACAAAGGTAAACCAGAGGCCCATTGCGTACTGTAGTACGCATGGGCCTTCTTAGTCTACCTGTCAATGCAATAGAGGTGCTCTTAGTTTAGTTCAAAGTAAGATATATCCGTGTAAATATTGCTTAAAAACCATCTCGGTTTCCAGCGACATGTATATTATTTTTAGTCGGATGTCGTTTAATGTTGTCGTGTCTAACAAGGTCTTGATAGTCATACTCTTTTGCTGTGGGAGATAGGAATCTTGGGAGGTGTAGCATGTGTCCTTTTTGACAGGTCTCTTTTGGGTGTCAAACATTCCCTTTTTTTTACCTCTTTGGGAGTCCCTCTCTGTTGTCCTTCCTCCCTTAGGAGAGGCGTCCCTGCCTGTCTACGTTTATCCTACGCACCCACATTTAGACGTCTCTCATCCTACTGTCATAGTAACCTAGTATATGCTAGGTGTGCTTACAAATGCCGTAATTTAATGTTACCACAAAGTCTAACTGATTTAATTTCTTCTACTTAGGTGCTCTACAGTGATGGTTACACCTTCGGTAGATCACCTGGTTAGTAGAGCGTTGCGCGTAGGGTTCCGATCCGAGGGCGTCTCTGTCAAGCTCGCGAATTTAGATAGTGGTCGTTTCAGGTCGTGAAATTAGTCTATAAAGCAAGCTACATGACAAAATGAGCAGTTCTAACTAGCCTTCAATCTCCTCTATCTCCTAGGGTTCTGTGTCCTATGTCGTTCTCCTAGTCGCCTAGGGTGAGACCGAGGTTCTACATAAGGAGACAGCGGCAAGGACGTCTTATATTCTACTATTATCTTCCAAAATTTGAGCCGATGCCAAGCAAATACACTCCTCAAGATGAAGAAGCGTCCTTATCGCAATTAATTTGGTAACGTGATTGTGTGTGGGTTCGCCCTCTTATAATATGCGCGCCTTTTCGTACTGGGTACCCATAATAGAACAACTACGAGAGGTCTAGTGAGCGCAAGCGTGTCAAATTATGAACTCGAAAAATACCCGACCGCAATATTATATATCTATAAAAAGGTATCTGCTCGCCTTTTAATTTAAAGACTTGGACCTTAATACGTATCACGCGCATGCGGTAAAATATTAGACGAGAGAGCGGAGCGCGGCGGCCGCGCGAAGACGGTATAACTATAAATACCTATATCAACTGTAGGTTTATGAGATGAAATTTAGTCATCGTCCTTTTTTAGATTTTCGAAAAGATTACCTCAGCTACGTAAACGAGCATCAGTACTAGACAGTTTTACACACACTACAGGCTACGAGTACAGTCGATCGGTAATATGTGAGCAACGGGCACTGACTAACATGAGGCGTCACTTCAACGTGAGGTGGATCACCATTGAAGTATCGCGCCAAGTAGCCAACACACACACCACGCACAGCGCAACACACCACACACACACACACCAAGCACCTAAACCGAACACCGAGCACAACACCGAACAAATCTATCTCACACACACACACCACGACAACTCAAGTACATCTCTACACCGGAACACACCACTTCTACCAACGTAGAGTTCCACACACACACACACACAACACACACACACACACACACACACACACACACCACCCCAAATAGATTGACTACTATGTAACACCACACGCAACACAC